AAAAAAAAAAAAAAAAAAATGAAGTAGTACTTTCATGACATATTGTAAGGAATTATTTTATAAAATTTGGGCAATCATCAAGAAGACATCCCTTTCCTTCACTTACAAAGTCATAAAGCAGCATAATTTAAATAGTCTTATTCAGCCTGGGCAACATAGACTCCATCTTTAAAAAATTAGAACCAAATTTAGCTGGCATGGTAGTGCCTATAATCCCAAGCTACTTAGGAGACTTAAGCAGGAGGATCCCTTGAGGCTGTAAGAGACTAGCTTGAGCAATCAAAAAAAAAAAAGTAAAAAATATATTTTTTAAAGCCTTTCTTCTTGGCTTGGTGCCTGTGGCTCAAGTGGCTAAGGCGCCAGCCACATACACCTAAGGTGGCAGGTTCGAATCCAGCCTGGGCCAGCCAAAAACAACAATGACGGCTGCAACCAAAAAATAGCCGGGTGTTGTGGTGGGCGCCTGTGGTCCCAGCTACTTGGGAGGCTGAGGTAGGAGACTTGCTTGAGCCCAGGAGTTGGAGGTTGCTGTGAGCTGTGATGCCATGGCACTCTACCCAAGGGGATAGCTTGAGGCTCTGTCTCAAAAAAAAAAAAAGCCTTTCTTCTTTATATTTTCAGTATTTCCTTTCACTTGTAATCTTGTGTCCTATTGTGTAACTCTTCTCATTGTCCAAATGATCTGAGCTTCATTTTTGTCCAAAGTATTTAAAGTGACTAGTAGTCATTTCATTCATTAACTCTGTGAAATTGCACTGTCCCAATTTTTTGTGTTCATACTTGCCTTTCAGAGGTTCTTCATCTTTTAGCCTGACAACTTGGTATTTCTAAGGATTAATTCTTGACCCAAAGCTGTTAACTTCTATATTTACATTCTCAGGGAGCTGACCCATTTTTAGGGTTTTAAGTACATAAAAAATATGCTTATTTGGAATGCTTGGGACTGGAAGTGTTTTGGAGTTCAGGTTTTTCTGCATTTTTAAATATTTGTAATATACTGGATGAACAGTCCTTATCCAAATATCTTAAAACTGAAATGCTCCAATGAGCATTTCCTTTTTTATCAGTGCTCAAAACATTTCAGATTTTGGAGTATTTTGGATTCTCAGATTAGAGATATTTACTCTGTGCTATTATAATATGGCTTACCTCTTGGAACCTAATTTTCTTTTTCTGGTTTGGTACCTCCGTACATTTCAGAAGTGTTCTGCCAAATTTCAAACCAAATGTTGCCAATAAATGGAATACATCCTTATGTTAGCACCTGTTTCCAGTTTTCCTTTCATTGCTGGTTATTCATGTTAGCAATTTTCTTAGGCCTCTACACTAGCAACCCTGAGCTCCTTTCTCACCATAATTTCCCTTAATTTTTGCCCAAACTAACAATAAAGCATATGGTTCTTCATTGAAACACATTCACTCATAAATGATTACTGTAGTTTGCTAGAAAATCCTCTCATTAAAATGGGTATCCATGAAAAATATGCTAGCTTTTCTCTCTCCTGTTTCCACAGTTACATAATTCCAGTGTTAATGTTATTTTCCACAAATTATGAATCTATTCTATTTTTTAAAATTCTATATATTTCTATAGCATATATTCCTATTGAACAGGCTAACTCTATAATTTATTATACCTACTAGGAAAAAAATTGGTATATTATCTCCTTGCATGTTTTCCAGGTTTTATTTTTTAATTTTTTAGAGAAAGGGTCTCTCTGTGTTGCCCAGTCTTGAGTGCAGTGGCTGTTCACAAGCACAATCATAGAGCGCTACAGCCTCAAACTCCTGACTTCAAGTGATTGTTCTGCCTCAGCCTCCAAATAGCACAGGCTATAGGCATGTATCAGTGCGCCCAGGTTCCCTTCTCATTTTTAAAAGATGAATATGGCTCAGTGCCTGTAGCTCAACTGGCTACAGTGCCAGCCACATACACCTAAGGTGGCGGGTTTGAATCTAGCCTGGCCCGCCAAA